CCACCACAATGTCAGAACGGAGGATGGACTCATGGGGGGTCGGACAGTGGGCACCAGCAGGAGGCTGAGCGAGGGCCTAGGGGGAATGACTGGGCATCTAAACTTAGGTGAGGCAGAGATGACGGAAGGGAAGGGGAGGGTGCAAGAGACATCATGAAATGCTTACTAAAACTTTTTATAGTCCAGACACGTGCCTCTTTAGGGCTGATCTTATGAGAGCGTGTCCACTATTCTTCTGGGGTCTCTTTTATGAGATATTCCTCTGCTCAGAAAGTTACAGTGGTTCCCTGTTGCCTGTTGGATCAAATCCAGGCTTCTTCCCATTCTGACCTTCAAAGCTGCCCACTAACTGGATCCTTCGTGATTTCCTCTCCACTGTCATCTGCAGATGTTAACATTGTAAGCAGTGTAGTTCTGCTTGGGCCAAGACAATCTGCTCATAGTCTCTGGCCTGGCCTGAATCGTGCCTCAAGGCCTCTCTCCTCTCAGCTGAGGCCACCTGATGCCCCTCATCTGCACCCCGACATACATATACGGGTTTAACTCAGTTTCACCCAGCCTCCTTAGTACAATACTGACACGAGGTAGGATTGAGTTCCAGGTTCTGGCTCGGTTCGATGTGTCCCTTCCTGCTGGAGCTCTCTGTGCCTTACACTATTCTTCCCTGAATATGACAGAAGGGATCCTTCTAGCTTGTCCAGACCCACAGGAGGGAGAGACAGAGGAGGGGCAAAGTGGACAAGGCTCAGCCACACCTCTCTCCCTGCTCCACAATTCAGTCAGGATTGCTCAGTTTGACCAGTTCTATATGTGAGCTGACAGGACATTGTATTTGAAGAGTTTCATACCACAGAGGGCTTTAAATGCATTGGCCTAGACTTGGCCAACTTCTTCTTGATGTAAAAATGGAGCACAAGGTCAGAAAGACTTGCTTTCTCTATTTGCTTCCTGGTCAGGTGCCGACAGTGGCGCATGGCAGGGGCTTAAGCATGAGGGAAGAGGAACCCGGTCCCAGGGCCTTGGAATTTACACTCAATCTGTTTCTGGTTACAGCAGTTGTTCAGTACGATTTATTTTGAGACTCTATAATCCTTGAGTCAGAAGGTGGTGACTTGGTGAATCTATATTGGGCAGGAGGTGGTAAAGCAATGGGGACAGCCATGATGGGGTGTGGTATGTGGTGGTATTAGACGTGGGGGGCGGAATGGAAGGTTTGGATAGCCTTCCTTCAGGGGGCCTGGGACAGGAAAACAGACTTCACCACTGCCACCAGGTGCTCACTCTCCCCTTGCGAAGGCCCTATGAGGTGCTCCTTTTCAGAAGTCAGACTCCTCTTTCCCAGCGCACCTGCTTCTGACAGACACTGTCTGTTTCAGGGCTTATTTTTAGCCAGTTTTGACTGCACCCAACCGTGTTTCACCCTCTGCAAAGTTCTAAAGAAGCGATGGTTTAACAATAGGACCAGGCATCAGGCCCCGGAGTCTGTCTTATCAGGGGGAAACACCTAAAACTGCCGTAATCCTTCCTCTCACACATCTCTACAAGGAAAGGTTTCCTTGGTTGGCCAAAAGGAAGTGTGGCTACTTGTATAGAGGGGTGGTGGCAGATGGCAGAGCTCCTTGTCCCTGCTGATCGCCAGTGGTAGGGCTGCCCCAACTCAACTGCACCTAGTAGGCAAGCCCTGCTTTACCTCACTTCCCCCCATTGTGTGTCCTGTGCTCTCCTCCTAGCTGTAGGCACACACCACGTCCATTCATTCGGTGAGAGCTGGGCACCGGCCAACCAGGCAGACTTCCAAAGTGCCAATCCATAAGGGTTGCATTACCAGGCTGTAAAACATCACTGAGTATAATGAAATGAAAGAAGATACGTTTACCAAAACACCTTTCAAGGAGAGCACTAAATTTATTTCATTCATTTACTAAATAAATGTTTAGTTGCACCTATTCCATTCCCCCAATCAATAGATATTTATTTAGCACCTTAAGGTTTGTGCCAGACACTGGTCTAAGCACTGAGATACAATAATGAGCATAACAGCCTTCACCATGGTAGAATTTATATCCTAAAAGGGAGACAGACATATACAAGGATCTTAGGTCAAGTTCCTCACAAGCAGACACTGAAATGATTTGGGTTTAGTGATCTATTAATGAAGTAGAAATGAAAGGTGATAGGGATTGTAGAGACATGAGACCTTGTGGGATAGGAAAAAGTCAAATCATCTGAGTCCCAAACAATGGGAGGTAAGACATAAAATTGGTGTATGCAACAAAGGTCCAATAAGATTTCACAGTTACATAGAGGGACTCAGTCTATGAAAAAGACCAGCTTCAACCTCCATATTCAAGCTTGTGCTTCAGACAGCCTCAGAGTAGCCTCCAATGAGTTGACAGAGGCATGAGGCTGAGAAAGCAAAGAAATGAGGCAATATTGAGACTTATGTCTAGGAAACATTTCTGGGTATGGCTACAGGCCTACAGGGTTAGGGTTAGGGTTATGAAATTGACTGGAAGCAAACAGATTAGAAGCCTACTGGGTTGTTGTTTTTTTTGTTTTTTGTTTTTTTAATTTACTTATTTGTTTTGAGAGAGAGACAGAAAGTGAGTGGTGGAGGAGCAGAGAGAGGGAGAGACAGAATCCCAAGCAGGCTCCACACTGTCAGCACAGAGCCTGACACAGGGCTGGAATTCACACACTGTGAGATCACAACCTGAGTTGAAATCAAGAGTCAGACGCTTAACCAACTGAGCCACCCAGGTGCCCCTAGAAGCCCACTGGTTTTGAGAGAGCTCTGTTGTCAGAGAAATCATGATCCTGATTTGAAAAGCAGAAACAAAAACAAAACAACCCTGCCCCCCCCCCAGCAAAAACACCGGGTAATATAAAACATTTCTCAGGCCTTTAGATTTGCATTGGCTGGAAGCAGGCTGTGAATTATATAGTCCCAAGGATGGCCAAGTCAGCAAAGCTCACTTCAGAGAAGGCCATGGGGGAAATTGGGCATGGACCCATATTCCAACGGTATAGTCTGGCACCAGAGAGAACAGTGGACAAGGAAATTCCTTCAGAGATCAGGATTAAGGTCTAGTCAGAGAATTTCACCCTCACACTGGAACAAACAGTCTTCACTGTGTCTATCCAGAAAGATTTTATCGTTGCTGTGGACAAGTGACTGCCTTGTAGCTCCCATTATTCCTTTTTCTGAATGGAATTTTATTATGGCTTTCCTGTTCTTACCTCCATATCGTGTTTTGACTGGTGGTTAGTGGAGAGATGATACTTGTCTTTGTGTTCATAGGTCTCTGGACCACAGGGGGCTACATCTAGACTTGCTAGAGATAACTGTATATCACCCAGAGATCCTGGTCTTTGAGCTGGATATAGTGACTGAGTGGGATTTTGGAGGTGTGTGTGTGTACTGAGAGTGTAAGTATAAGACAGGTGTGCAGTAATATTTAATGACCAGTCTACCTCCTTAGCAGGCTGATAACATTAGACCTAGATGGCTAGCTGTCTATCCAATATTCATATAATATACAATTGATATGGGGGTAGACTACATTTCCTAGCATCCCTTACATCCATATAACTCGCTACCACCAATGGAATGTGAGTAGAAATGATGTGTGTCACTTCCAAGCTGGGACTTTTAAGAAGCTAATGGGGAATATCCACATTTTCTTCTCCTGTCTGCCATCTGAATGTTGAAAACTCTGAGTTTCTAGGCAATAGTGGAGCCACAAGATGGCCCCTAAACACCACATAAAGGAATGCTTGAAACCCAACCATATGAAACATGTACATTGGACAATTACATGATCAAGAAATATAGATTGTGGTAAACCACCATTGAGGGGGCGGGGTTGCACAAACTAGCGTTACCATAATGCTAGAAACAACTTCATATAAGAGTTCATGACACTGAATCAGGCATTCATTAAGCCCTTAAATGATGTTCCTACATCATGGTATGCAAAGACAAACATGCATATCCAGATAAAAACATCTATTTCAGTGAGAACCAAGTTACCGTTCACTCCACAATAAAAGGATTTAATGTAGTCACCCTTCCAGGCAGGTGACAGTTTTGTACCTCTAGGTCATGATACCATACCGGGGGTTCAAGGTTAGTCACTGCTTCTGGGAAGTTAGATACTCAGCAGCGATGGCGGCCAGGTCAGCCTCTGCGAAGGAAAATGCATATTGTAGCCTATCTATAATTGTAACCCTGCCATTGTGATGATGTTCATAACCTCACTGATTAAAGACTGAGGTGACTGGGAAAGAGGCTGGCTGACATTCATAGAGCAAGATACCTGCACTGTGGACATCTTTGGGAGAACATTCTCATGGAACAAACATTTTCACATCCTGGACCCATTATGATTTGTCCATTCATGTGCCTCTTTCCCAAAAATGCTTTGTCACATATCCCTTCCAAGTCTTTGACTATTTTTCCAAACCATTAGTCATTGTCCATGAATTGGCTTAGACCCAGATCTCAGGTCATCTCTCCTTTCAGACCAAATACCACTTAAAGCTCTGTACAATGGAAGGATTTCTCTCCTCTGTAGTCCTTAGGGCCACCCCTTCCAGCCTGTAAATAGAGCTGTAACATGACAGGAGTCCCCTTACTGCTGGTGCCAGCATATTGTGCAGATCTCTATAAACCAGCTTATTTTCTTTTCAGTATATGAAATTTATTGTCAAATTGGTTTCCATACAACACCCAGTGCTCATCCCAAAAACTGCCCTCCTCAATACCCATCACCCACCCTCCCCTCCCTCCCACCCCCCATAAAACCAGCTTATTTTAAGCTAGGACTAAAGATGGGAGATGCTGCGATTGAAACGTGCTCCCTGAGTTCATAGAAGATGATGGGATTCTGAAGTAGAAGAGGCAACATAGCAGCACTTAGCCATCAAAGGCAGAGTGGGCATGGTTACCATAAGGGGTATCAAGCCCAGAGTATAATCCTATAATTCCTGACCCACAGGAATCATTGTAAGTGTTAAGCTGATGATGGATCCCTAGGAACAACATAGAGGAGCAGCTCAATACATTCCTTCTTGACCTGTATGGCCAAAGGAACTCTAGGTCTGGAAAATATAAGCCTGACTTGAGTCACTGCAGTAGAGAATCTAGATCAGCATCAACTCAAAGACCCAGAGCTCACTGAATGAAAGGAAGACTGAAAACCCTTGAGAAAGTGCCCTGAGGTATTATCACAGGTATGTACTACAAATCTTTCTAGCCTTCCCTAAGCAGCCTTCCTGTAGCCATTGCCCACGTAACTAACTGTATACTGTGGGGGAAGCAAATACCCAAACATTTTCAGAGATTATTGAACACTGGATCTGAGCTAAACCCTGAGGACCCACAACACCACTCTAACACATAAGCCAGAGTGGAGGCCTTGGGGGAGGGTGTCATGCCATAGAGACATTTTTTTAATTGAGGGTATCAAGGTAGGTGGCTTGACCGAGATGGTAAAAAGGAAATACATGGAATTTGGGGCTTTGTCCATATCACAGTAGTCCCAGTAGATCACAAATATACCCCCATTTTTCCCCCATGTTCCTGAGTATATATTGGGAATAAATATACTCAATAACTAAAAAATCTGTATGTTTCCTCCTGACGTATAGAGTGAGGACTATCATGGTAGGAAGAAAGTGGAATCCGTGGAGCTACCCTACCGAAATGGTGGATCAAAGCACCCTGTTTATCGTGGAATCACAGACATTAGAACTAATAAAGCCTCGAAAGAGGCAAAGAGGATAATCTTCACTATACTCCCATTTACATTACTTGTTTGTCTTACGTAGAAGACCGATCATGGAGCATAGTAGCGGACTCTCATAAACCAAGTCAGGTAGAGGCTACATTTAGTTCCAGACAGACTTTTCAACATTGTAGATCAATACATACCCTGGCACTTAGTATGCAGCTGTTCATCTGAAAAATGATTTTATTTCTACAAGGAAACACCACCATCAAGTAACTTTCATGTGGAAAAGAGAGTTTTCTCTATCTTGCTATAGAATTACATCAGTTATCCAGAGTCATGTCATGTTTTTACTCTAAAAGGCATGCATTTCTCAAGATGGTGGCAAAGAGAAATGTCTTGGAACCCTTTTCAGAGACAAAGGTAAGGAGTGAATGAGTGGGGTCTATATGATAAATACATGCTGACATTCCTATTTCCCTAAATTTTTGGGTTCCTCCCTTTACATTACACCAGAGAATTTCTGTTGTTGCTGATGAGAAGTCCACTGGTGTTCTTTTGTAGTTAATCTATCTCTACCATAAATTCTGGGATTTTTCATTATTTTTATGTTTTATAGTTTACTATAATGTGGAGTTTGGAGATTTATCATATTTAACACTTAATGAGCTTTATAAAGCCGAATATTTATTTCTTCCTTCAGTTCTAGAAATATCTACCATTCTGTCTTCAATTTTTGTGTCTTTGTCATTCTTTAGTCTCTCCTGAAGCTGTTTTATTAGACTATATTGGACTGCCTCCATGTGTTTTAATTTCCTTTTTAGATTTTCTATTTTTTAATACATTGTGCTGAAATTCTAAGAAATTTTATCACTTCTATTTCCCAATTCACTAATTCCCTCTTCAGCTCTGTCCAATCTATAACTTGGACCTTTTTTTTTAAATTTCAGTGCTCTATTTTTCATTTTTAAGATATATACTTTTTTTCATATTTACACATTCTTGTTTTGTGAATCCTGTATTTCTTCTGTGGATGCTGCTCTATCCTTTATTCCTTTGAGGATTTTAAACATGCATGTTTTAAGTCTTTTTCAGAGTACTCTGTTATTTCTCTTTTCTCAGACGTGTTTCTTTCAATTTATTGGATATAATGACTATATCATTATCCTGCCTTTCCTCAAATGCTTTATTAAGAACTGTGAGCTTGTCTTCGATGAAATTTTTAACAGCTTTTTTGCAGTATAACCTATCTACCATACAATTCACCTATTGAAGTGTATAATTCAGTCGCTTTTAGAATATTCACATGGTTGTATGTCCATCACCACAATCAATTTTTCATTACCCGTTCCATGACATTTTGTCTCATAGGTACTCCTGTACTATGATGACCTCCCCGTGGAGCAGTTTTACAATTTCAGTGCAAAGCACCAAAGCACATATTCTGTTTGAGGCTTGGCTCAAGACTTGGGCTCTGAGAAAATAGAGTCATACTAAGCTCTGAACTCATCATAAAGGTTTATGCCTGGGTATTATGCAGGTGACTTTTCTTCCTTAGCCACTGGTAGTACCTCATTTTGGCATGCAGTTCCAGGAGGGAGGGGAGAGTTATTCTAACTTCCTCTTTTACATATCGTCTTACTCAGGAATTCTGATTCAGACCCACTGCCAATAATGGAGCTACCAACAAGAACACTGGCCTTTGGGGCGCCTGGGTGGCGCAGTCGGTTAAGCGTCTGACTTCAGCCAGGTCACGATCTCGCGGTCCGTGAGTTCGAGCCCCGCGTCGGGCTCTGGGCTGATGGCTCGGAGCCTGGAGCCTGTTTCCGATTCTGTGTCTCCCTCTCTCTCTGCCCCTCCCCTGTTCATGCTCTGTCTCTCTCTGTCCCAAAAATAAACGTTGAAAAAAAAATTAAAAAAAAAAAAAAGAACACTGGCCTTTATCCTTGCTTGGGCATTAAAGCTGTGGTTTTGATGATGTTTATGTATTTCCTCCTCCCCTGGATCATGAGGCTCCACTCTAGCCTTTGCCTGTGACTGTAGGTTCTTTCCATATATTTTCCTCTCCCTTTTTAGTGCAACAACTTTATTTCTGGTCCATGAAGACTTCTCTTTCTAGTGATTTATGTATGTATTGATTGTTAAATGTTTATCTATTATATGTGATGTGGAATGAAAGTGTGAGGTTCAGTCTGTGCTCAATCCACCCCATTGCCATAGAATTGGTAAAGGCTTTTCCAGACAACCTTCTGGCAGTCTTCTCAGATTCTCAGGGTGTTCATCCTGCCCTCGACTCCCCAGGATGTTCCCAGTGGCGTACCCCATGCTTTGGGCCATTACCTCTATAGAATAGACTCTTTGGATGTGGAATGTTTTTGCAGTTTTAATGCAAGACCCCCTATGGAACTGACAGACTAATCTTGTCTTTCCAATATACCTGCAGGCCAACTTCCTGTCCTTTAACCAACTTGTTAGCATGAGCAAGTGTGTGCAGGGGAGATGGGTGGGATCTCATGGTGGACTGCTATCTGTCCCCATCTGCAAATACCTCCCTCTCTGATCTGTGAAGATGGAAGGGGCAGAGAGAACCTCTTCAAAGTCATACCTGTGGTGGAGTAGAGCACCAGACTAGAGAGGACACAGGTGATTTTAACTGGTTCTATCACTACCTAGCACTGGGGCTAGTGGAAATCACTTTGTTGTCTTAGCTTCTATGGGAATACTTATAATAGCAGTTTGTCATGACAAATTGCTTTTTTTTTTTCCATTCATGCAGCATGTATTTCAGAGACAGTCTGGCCTGATCTAGTGCCAACTCTGCCACTAAACTCTAACTCACTTGATGACTTAGGGCAGCTCATACAAGGTGGAAACTCCATGGGTACCGATTTCAACTAAGAGAAAACTTGGAAGTTGCTAACAGAGCTATCTGAAGATAGGCTGGATTGTCTGGGGGAAATGGCATTATAACAGCTAACATTTATTAAGCAATCATTTGCTTACTTTTCACAGCAATCCTGTGAGTTAGATACTATCATCCCATTTCAGAGATGAGGAACAAGAGCTCAAAAAGTTATATGGAAGTAGAAAACTAGGCTCGGACCCCAGATCTGTGAAACCAGGCTGACTACTCCCACCCACTCTTCTGTTTTGCCAGTGGAAGTGCTCAGAAGAAACCGGATGACCACTGGCCAGCAGGGGAGAGAGCACAGCAGCAATTAGGTTGGGCTGAGTGACTGCTCAGCACTGAAGTTCTAGAACTCTTCATTCTCTAGGGCTCTGTTTCCTGGAAAGTAAGACTTGAATTTGATTGCTAGAGGCTCCTTTCTGTTTTAAAATCCTGTGATGCATGTGCTAGGGATAGATGGTGACAGGAAAGAAATATCATATATACTCTCTGACGTCTCGGGATTTAGTTGGGAAGACGAGCCATGAGTATGAACCCAACTGCCCATGGCCCACTGCTCTGCTGGTGGGCAGGGAAAGTCAGCAGGGGGGACAGAAAGTGTTGGAAGGAATGAGCAGGGGGCTTGGAATGGTAGGGTCTAAGTGGGTGCCAAGAAAAGGAAACAGAAAGGGTGAGTGTTTGGAAAGCCAGACGTGTTTCCCTTTGAAAGCTTAGCTGCCACACAAGCAGCTCTATCCATGCCTTGACAGCTCCTAGCCTCAGCTGTCAGAGGGTGTGTTTCACTCTCTCTAACCAGCTAAAGTGTCCTGGCTGTCCCGAACTCAACACCTCCTCTCCTGGTCTCCTGCCTGAGCCTGACACAGGAGGCTGAGAGAAAGACCACCATCGCTTTGGTTGCCTCCCACGCCCAGAAAGCCCTTTGGGTTAAGGGCTGCTATAAATATTAAGATAGGAACCCTGACGTGTGTGTGTGTGTGTGTGTGTGTGTGTGTGTGTGTGCGCATGCACAATTTTTTTTATTTTCCCCAAATCTTCAGAATATTTTAGGCATGGGGAGGAAGAAAGACAAGTTAATGACAGTGATGTCGTCAATTAACTGGGGAGGAGACTTACACTTCCTACACTTTAACTTCCTTTCCTACCAAAAAGTTGAACAAAGCTAAGAGGTTGTCATGATTTGTTGGTAGGGGTGGATGGGAGAGTGGGGCTGCCCTGTAAAGAGGGACAGAGCAGCATAATAGCAGCAACCAGCTTGGATATTTGTAGGCAGAGCCTTTAAAGCCACTGCTTGGGAAAGGGGAACTCTTTGGATAAACCACTGTATCTGTTGGAGCGTGGTCACTTTCACACTAAATGGAAGTTTCCATCAGTGGTATCTTACCATGCACAAGCAGTACAAGGAGAGGAAGGAAATGCCCTTTTGGAAACTAGTTTACAGATAAAGTGAGGCAGTGGACAAAAATGTGGAATCCAGGAAAATTAAAGAGAACAACTTCAATTCAATTTGGAAATGTTTCTGGCATCTTCTGCCTGACCAACATTGTCTAAATGCTGTGAGGCACAGGGTCTTGGAGGTAAGATCTATCCAGGCAGATAAGACTAACACACAAGAGGGGCACCAGGGTGGCTCAGTCGGTTAAGCATCCGACTTCGGCTCAGGTCATGATCTCATGGTTTGTGGGTTTGAGCCCTGTGTCAGACACTGTGCTGACAACTCAGAGCCCAGAGCCTGGAGCCTGCTTTGGATTCTGTGTCTCCCTCTCTCTCTGCCCCTTTCCTGCTCATACTCTGTCTCTCAATAATAAATAAATAAATGTTAAAACATTTTTTTTAAAAAGACTAACACACAAGAAACTATGGGAATCCCTATAAATGCTGAACAGAAAAGACAGAATTCTTGACCTACACTCCTATACTGTACTTGTTCTAGAAGTGAAGTATTGCTACTAACCTTGATGTTCCAGACTTGGCCGAATGCTATATAAGTTTGGGTAGAGTGAGGACAGCTAGAGTTCGAGTAAGAATCATTGGTTCAATCTGGATTCCTCAGGGAGCAAAGTCTGAGGCAGAGACTGATGTGCTAACACTTTGTTAAGGCATACAGTTCTAGTAGCAAGAGCAGGAAACAAGGGGGAGAAAAGCATGGAAGGAGGTAGGGCCAATAGGTAGATAGATGTATTAACAAGCTGGGCACTCTTAAGTGGGACCGGTTGTTCAATCTAAAGTACTATATCCTGGAAAAGCCCTAAGAACCAGGTCTTGGGAGGTGCCTGGGTGGCTCAGTTGGTTGAGCTTCCAACCATGGCTGAGGTCATAATCTCGTGGTTCATGAGTCCGAGCCCTGCATCAGCTCACTGCTGTCAATGCAGAGTCCACTTCGGATCCTCTATCCCCCTCTCTCTGCCCCTCACCCCCCTCTCAAAAATAAAAATGAAACATTAAAAAAGAAGAGCCAGGTCTTGGAACCACTAGTAGGGTGGGGGTAGGGGTGGAGGAAGGGCTTCTTTCCCCTCCT